GCAGCTGCTACAGCTGGCACGTCTGCTGCAGCAGCAGCCACGACAGCGTCTGAAGCAGTGGCAGCATCTGAGGCGGCAGCAGCTTCATCTTCGAGTTGCAGTCTGTGCTGCAGTCGCTCCTGCTGCACCTCAGTCGATACCCGGAAAATGCAATTCGGAGCGGGCAATTCAAGCAGCATCTTCAGAGCATCTCGAACCCACAGGCGCAGCAAACATATGCGTTGCTGCAGCGCCTCACGTTCCTGCAGCAGCACGTGTTGCACCGGCAAAGTTGCAGCTTCCCGCAGCAGTCGCAGCACCTGAAGCAGCAGCACCAAACAAGACAGCAAAACAATTCAAGAGTAAAGGTGCACATCAGCACAACAAAGAGACAAAGAAGTACAGTTTATGTAGGAACAAGGCTGGGAACCACCAGCAGCAGCTGAAGCAGCAGCAGAGCCCTACCCTGGATGCTGCAGGCAGAGACACCTTGGCAGATGTCAACGAGAAGAGCTGCGCCACGCGCGTTCCGCTGAGCCTCACGAAGTCCTGGAGAGTTGCCGCTGCCCCAGCTCCCCTCGCTGTGCATCCCACGCATACCCAAGGGCCCCCACAATCCGGCGGAGGAGGCAGCAAGAGCACGCTGCCGTTGCTGCTGCCAACACCTGGAGTTGACACAGCAGCAACAGCAGCAGCTGCATTCTCATTTTCCGACTGTTGCTGCTTGCTCGCAAGCTGCGACACACAATTCAGGTGGAATCTCCTGCTGCAGTAGCTGCAGCTAATCCAGCCACCCATTCCTTCTTCGTCAAGGGGTAGCAATAGCTGCTGCTGCTGCATATAAGCATCTTCTGCTGCTGCTGCTGCGTCTGCTACAGCCGCTGGGTCATCTACTTTGCATCCTAAAACTGCTCGCAGCTGCTGTCGCCGGTTGTAATGCTGCCTATACACCAAACATGGATGCTGCGGGGAATCCTGCTGCTGCAGCGGCTTGCTGCATAGGAGACAAACCTCAGCTGGCTCTGCGTGCAGCAGTAGCGCAGCTTCCTGCAGCTGTACAAAGGCACGCTGAATGGGAGTCAAGCACACGGCCGGCTCCGCCGCAATAAACCATTCATCACAGCACTCAGCCTCTTTCTGTTGCTGTTGCTGTTGCTGTTGCTGTTCGGTGTCACCAGATAGCGGCACCCTTGTCTCTGGCTTTCTGGCCTCTTCAGCTTGCGCGGCAGCAGGAAGCAAATGCTCTTCTTGCTGCTCTTGTTTCTGCTCAACAGAGTCTGTGGAGCCATCTGTGAGCAGCAAGTGGTCGCGCAGCAGCTGTCGAGACACCGGAACAAACGGATCTGTGGCTGCGTCAAGGCGAGTCCACGGACGGTGATATCCATCCTGCAGCAGCAGCAGCAGCAGCAGCAGCAGCAGCACAGCAGCAGCACGACAGTGAGCGAGCTTTGTGGTGCCGCGATGCAGCGAGGCCGCAGCAAAAAAAGAAGCGACAACATCAGCAGCACTTACCCTTGGTAGGAAGCATATGGCCTCCCTCGCCCGCACGGCCCAATCGACTGCATGCAGCAACAGCGCAGCAACACGCCCCTTCAACGGCAGCTGCAACGGGAGACCATCTAGAACCTCAAGGAGACGAAGAAGAGACAACAGAGACGCCTGGGGCAACGGGGCCTGCAGGGCCTCCTCCAGCAACTGTCTCCTGTCAGGGGACAGTCTCCGGCTCCGTGCCTCGGGCAGCAGCGGCTCCTGTTCCTGCTGCTGCTGCTCTCTCTGCTGCTGCATCACGTCCTCGTTTTCGTAGAAGTCAAAGTCCAAGAGAGACCTCCGATACAGCCACACTGTAGATGCAGAGACACTGGGACCTCCCGCCTCGCTGCTGTTGCTGCTATCTAAACACATACGGGAGATGTGCTGCACGCACCGCATGCTGCTCCCAGCTGCGTCATCCCGCAGCACAGGACCGGCCATATTCTGCAGCAGCTGCAGCAGCCGTTGCACCTCTTCTTCCTCGGACGCTGCATGGGCATTTGCAGAGCCATCCACAGCCATGCCCTCAAACATACACCCATTCTGTTGCTGCTGCTGCTGCTGCTGCTGCTGCTGCTGCTGCTCCTGCTGCTCTTTTGCAAGACCAAAGGCAAATGCTGGGACTTCCCAGTCCTCAAGGCCCACGTCCCACGGGGTTCCTTGCCAGAAGGCTGTCTCCGCGCCCGCGAGCCCCACCGGAGGTTTGCGCATGCGTTGGTGTTGCTGCTGCTGCTGAGCGGTAGCAGCTTCGCCCGGGCCCTCCACCTCCAGAGCAGCGCCTGCTGCTACTTCCGCTCCGGCTGGTGGTGTTGCATCGCCTGAAGGTGACACAAGCTCTGTGACCGGCTCCTGCTGCTGTGGTCGTTGCTGCTGCAGGTCCTGCTGCAGCTCCTGCTGCGGCAGCTGCTGCTCCTGGAATACTTTTTGCTGCTGCTGCGGCTTGTCTTGAAGCTGCGCTTTCTGCTCGTCCGCATGACGGCCGCCTGAAGCAATCAGCTGCACTTCTTGCTGTATCAGCAGCTGCCGGGCGAGCTGGGGATCGAACAGCTCCTGCAGTGTCTCCTCAACTTCGTTTTCAGTCTCAAAGAATCCCTCTGCACCAACAGCAGCGCCTGGCTGCTGCTGCTGCTGCTGCTGTTGCTGCTGGTCTTTTTGCTGGTTGCTGCCATCCTCAGCAGGTGCTCGCAGCCACTCAAGGAGACGGGTCTTCATGTCGCGGTGGTTCTCTTGCTGCTGCTGTTGCTGCTGCTGCAACTCCTTTTGCTTCTCCAGCACCTTCATCACGCCCTCCCTGGAGCACAAGCCCGTGGCAGCAATGCACCGATACGGGTTCTGGTAGGCTGGGGCTTTGCTGCTGCAGCAGATTTGCATGCGGCGGCGTAAGGGGAGGGCCAGAGAACCTTGGGCCGTTGGCACGAGTTGTCGCTGCGCTGATCGCAATAGCTGTTGCTGCTTTTCGGTTTCCCCTGCAGCAGCAGCAGCAGCTGCTGCCGCCTTCTCCTGCTCTGCTGCTATGCGCTGCCTCCGCATGAGGTCTTCTTCCTGCTGCAAGAAGGGGTACTGCTGACGCAGCCACCAGCTCAGCAGCAACTGAGCCACCAACAGAGCCTGCAGCAAGATTGTTTCTCCCGTGAGAAAGCCACCGGAGCAGCAGATGCGCAGCAGCAGCAGCAGCCCCTCCCTGAAGGTAGGCAGCGGTATCCCTGAAGCTCGCAGCATCTCCTTAGAGGAGAAACAACGCACCCTGCGTCCGTCTCCTATCCTTGGAGTTGTATTCCGGCACGGGTAGTTGTGGGTCTGCTTCACACGCCTGCCAAGGGGTGGGAATGCGCCTCCTATCGCAGCAGCAGCAGCTGCTGCTGCTGGGCCTCCTGCTGCCGATGATGCCGTCGCTACGTTCGGCTGGGGCACAGGCACTGCATGCTGCGACTCATCCCGTGCAGCAGAAGATACGCTACAGTCCGCCACAGAGACTTCGTCCTGTACATGCGGCTGCAGCTGCTGCTGCTGCTGCTGTTGCTGTTGCTGCTCGCCGGTGAGCTCCGCAGAGGCATCCGCTAGTTTAACTCTCTTCCCGTGACCAGTTGCTGGGACTCCTGGGGACTGTTGCCGAGCAGCAGCACGCTTTTGGGGCTGCTGCTGCTGCTGCAGAGGCGCAGCAGCTGCAGCATCGGTGCCCTCAGGGGTGTACTGCTGCTGCACAGCAGGAGCCTCGCCGACGCCTGCATGCTGCTTCTTCGTGCCGCTCGGCCCCCTGGCCTTTCCAGGGACAGCGTTAGCCCCCTTAGCCACCCACAGGCCGTGCGTAGACTGAAGACACCAGCAGAAGCCACAACAACAGCTAAACCCTAAACCCTAAACCCTAGACCCTGAACCGTAAACCCTCTTATGCATGCCCAACAAGGATGAAGGCAATAAAGGGAGCTACGCTAGACAGGAATTTTGCTGTGAATATTCAGCAGCTATAAATAAAGCCATTGGCTGCAGCTAGCTGATTCCTAGCTGCTGCTGATGCAGCGTCAGCTGCCGCTTCTGCCGCACTGTTCACGGAGCCGCAGCAGCAAGACGCACCGCATGGTCTCCTCTGCGCTTCGCCTTGGACTCTATAAGCCGCAGCAACGACGGATGTAGAGAGCGGACGTCAGAGACAGGCCAACTGATCTTGCCGGCCGTCAGCTGCCTGAACACATACAGCAACAGCAACAACAGTGACGGCTGCATATGCTGTAACCGCTGCTGCACCGCTGCTGCCGCGGTGGTTCTGCTGCTGCAGCTCCCAGCAGCACCACATACACAGAGAACACACACAGCCACAGTGCCAGTGCAGCTGCTGCTTCACAAACGAGACCACACAGGGTGCACCCGAGCGCATGCAACGTTGGTAGCTGTCAGAACAGCAGCAGCACAAACAGCAACAGCACCAGCACCAGCAGCAGCAGCAGCGGCAGCGGCTGCAGCGGCAGCAGGGACGCACTTGTAGTGCAGAGCATAGGCCGTCAGGAGGTGGAACGCATATCCAGGAGGCTCGCCATTCGGCCACACGCGGCGGAACTCTGCCTCAGCCCCAAGTGCTGCTGCTGCAGCAGCTGCTGCAGCAGCTGCAGCAGCTGATTCTGTTGCCGCCGGACCATCTTTTTCTGCGACATGATTCTCTGCTGAGCTCAGACATTGCTGCTGCTGCGGCTCCTGTTGCTGCAACTCCTCCTCAACAGATGACTTTTGCTGCTGTTGCTGCTGTTGCTGCTGCTGCTCCTGCTGCTCCTGCTGCGCACGGTCTGCCTCTGCAGCAGCAGCAACGTCAAGCAGCAGCTTCAGGTGGACTTGCAGGCCCATGAGCGTCTCAAGACTCAGCCCTTTTGTGACGGCATACAGCAGCAGCCGTTGCAGCTCCTCAGTCATTAGCGGCAGCACAAGCAACACACACTTTAATATGAACGATGGCCCGAAGGGAGGATGCTTCTGCTGCAGTGCAGCTTCGCGCTCTGCGAGCCACGCCTTCCTCTCCACAGCAGCAGCAGCTGCTGCTGCCTGCTGGTCCTTCTCGGCTGCAGCAGCTCCTTCTTTACTCTTAGCTGCTGCTGCGGGCTCTGCACTGTCCATAGGCATCGACGTGTCTCCACACACCGCAGGTCTGTCGGTGTTATCTGAGGAGGCGGAGAGCAGCAGCGGCTGCTGCATGCGTTGCTGTTCAGCTTGCTGCTCTTCCTTCTCTTCGACTTCATCAAGTGCAGCAGCAAAAGCAGCAGGTTTGTCACAGAAGCAGCAGACCGCCTGAGCTGCCAGGGCATCCTCTTGGGGGGGCCGCTGCATAAGACGGAGCTCGTCAAGCAGCGGCTGCTGCGCCTCTCTCACCACCGGCAGCCGCATGCATCTGTACTGCTGCAGCCAGTCTTGTGTGTCTCTTACTAGGGCCCGCAGCCGCGTATATGAGGGGCCATCCACAAGCTCAATAGGTAACGATACAATAGGCGAGGCGGCGCTGCAGCCGTCGCACCGCTGCAGCTCCTGCAGCAGCGTCATAACCCGCACGCTCTCCGGTGACGGTGGCTTCTCCTCCCCCCTCTCCACTTCCTGCTTAGGCAAAAGCAGCTGCTGCTGCTGCTGCAGCAGAAACGATGCGCCCGCTGATCCATCTAACGGGTGCAGCTCCTGCAGCATCAGGGTCTCCTCTTCGTCCTCACTCAGCTCCTCCGCTCCTCCTGCACCTTGGAAGGGGTCTCCTAGTGTCTCTCCTGTTGACACGGCACCGGCTGCCGCTGCTTCTGCTGCTGCTGCTGCTGTGTCAGGGCCCCCTGCTGCTGGCTGCGCTGCAACTGCTGCATCTGTAGCAGCACTCGCGTTCTCTGCGTCGACAATGTGCTGCTCCTGCAGCTGCATGTACGCCTGCTGCTCTTGCTGCACAGAGTCCTGCTGCTGCTCACCGGAAGGTGACACAGGAATACCGGCTGCTGCTGCTTCTGCTGCCTCCTCAGCCTTCGCTGACCGACGGGTCGTGAGGGGGATCAGCATGTCTCCGTGCATCCTTGGGCGGCGTGGAGCCCGCGCGCTGCGGCGGGTGGGGACTGGGGGCTTCTGTTGTTGCTGCTGTTGTTGCTGCTGCTGTTGCTGTTGTTGCTGTTGCTGCTGCTGCTGCTGCTGCTGCTCTTCATCCTCGAGACCCAGCTGTTGTCTCCTACGAGTTCTCACAGGCGAGATTCGCATTGGTGGGGGCTCTTCTTGGGGCTGTGGCTGGGGTGGCAGCAACTGCTGCTGGAGCTGCAGCTGCAGCTCGAACAGTTGCTGCTGTGCTACTGCAGCAGCGGAGGTNTCAGATGTCTCCTCCTCCTCCTCACCGTCTGCTGCTGCTGCCTCATCAGCAGCGGGGCCCTCAGCTGACGCAGCAGGAACCTTCAGGCCGCCACCAGACTCTCGGACTTGTAGCCTCCTCGTCTCAATCTGCATGCATAAACAGCCCCACCAGTACCAGCAGTCAGCAGCAGCGCAGCTAGCAACACGAGGCGGGTCAACACTGCCTCCAGCTATATATCAAGCTGGCTAACTGCAACTATGCATGCATGCATGCATGCATGCATGCAGGGCCAATCCGACTGTCTCGATGCATGCATGCATAATCTAGCTGGCTGCATGCATGAGGTAGAAACGGCAGAGAAAGTAATGGCTTGACCCGTGTATATGCAGCCCTGGCGGGAGCTGGCGACGTACTTGCTGCAGCAGCTGCTCGGCTTCAGTGAGGGTGTGGCGTGGGCACCGGAGGAGAGAGAGCATGCGGTGGTTGTACAGTCGCAGCAGAACCTGCAGCAGCAGCAGCAGCAGCANCACCGGAGGAGAGAGAGCATGCGGTGGTTGTACAGTCGCAGCAGAACCTGCAGCAGCAGCAGCAGCAGCAGCAGCAACAGCGGCAACTCATGTGAGCAAACTATCAAACAGCACGACGTCGTATACCTGAAAGAAACATGGTGCTCCACGAGGTAGTGTGTGCATGCATGCATGCATGCATGCATGCATGCATGCATGCATGCGGTGTATGCGCACCTCCACCTTCAGCAGCCGCCTTTCTTTAATGTGAATCCGGCTGGCAGCGCATGCAGCAGCAAGCCGTCTCAGCCGTCTCGTTGTCTTCCACAGAAGAGCATTTGCTGCATCAGGCGAGAGTAGCTGCAGCGCGAGGATCTGCTGCTCTTGTTCCCTCTGTACCTCTTGCAGCCGCTGCTGCTGCTGCTGCTGCTGCTGCTGCTCCCCTTCGCGTTGCTGCTGCATCTGCTGATCTCCAACTCCATCAACAGCTGCAGCAGCAGCAGCTCGTGCTGCTGCAGCGGCTGCATCTCCTGCTGTTTCTGCTGCTGCTTTCTGCTGCTGACGGTACAGAAACAACACCTGAGACTCAGATATAGGGGACGCGAACTCTGGCTGGGGATCGACTCCCGCGGCGATCCCAAACAGACAAGCTGCTCTCTCCCTGTAGGACTGCTGCAGCGCAGCAGCACAGCGCTCCCTCAGCTGCTGCGCCGCCTTCACATGCTGCTGCAGCTCTGNGACTGCTGCAGCGCAGCAGCACAGCGCTCCCTCAGCTGCTGCGCCGCCTTCACATGCTGCTGCAGCTCTGCAAATGGCAGTAGAGATTTGCCTAAGCCGAAGGGTTTCCGTGTCAGCCGTTCTGCATCTAGGAGAGATACATAACCCCTCACGCGCGCCCCCTGCTGTTCTTGCTGCAGACCAGGTGTGGCTGCAGCAGCAGCAGCTGCTGCTGCTGCTGCTGCTGCTGCTCCAGGCGGCAGGATCGTCAGGGGGCCCGAGCTGTCCTGCAGCATCTCGGCTATAACACCAGCAGCTGCACTGGCACTGTGGCACCGCACCGCCGCGCGAAGCTCCAGCAGGTGTTGATACACCACACACCAGTCTGCGCTTTGCTGCAGCTGCTGCTGCAGCTGCTGCAGTCCCTCTGGCTTGATCCTGAGGCCCTGACCACGCTCCACGTGCTGCTGCCACTGACGCAGGGAAACCCCACGCGCATGCAGCTGAGCTGTCTCCTCTATCCACGCAGAGACATCTCTGCATGCGTCCTTGAGGCTTGTGAACCAGGGCAAGTCGGGTGTATCCGCAGGTAGCTGCAGCAGGCGCTCTTGCTCCTCAACGAACTGCTGCAGCTCAACTCGAGGCTTGTCCTCAGCTTGCAGATGAAGGGCTGCTGCTGCTTCCACCTGCTGCAGCTGCAGCAGCCGCTTCTCTGTATCTCCCAAGCAGCTGATGTACACGCTGCAGCTGCTGGCTCGGGTCTGCAGCTCACGCAGTTGCGTCAAGGATGCTGCTGTCTCAGGGGAGGCCAACGCAGCAGCTAACTCGGCCTCCACCTCCTGCTGCTGCTGCAGCGCCTGCGCGATGTCTTGGCGAACTGAAGTCAGGTGTACAGGCAGGTCTTCAGCCTCCAGCAGCAGCTGCTGCCACTCGGACGCACGCGGACGAGGCACTGCCTCGCGCAGCCTGCAGCAAANCAGCATGCTATTCAATCCGCTGCGGCATGCAGCATATTTTTCTACGGAAACGTAAGCAGCAGCAGCAAAACTGCAGCAGCAGCAAAACTGCAGCAGCAGCAGAACTGCAGCAGCATCGGCTTGGTGCAGAGTATGGGGTTGTCTTACTGCTGGGCCTTCTGCTGCCAGTCAGCTGCAATGCCGCTAAGCGCCTTCAAGAACTCTAGCTCTGGGAGAGCAGTCAGCTGAGCCCACTGCTGCTGCTGCTTGCTGCTGTCCAGCACCTGCTGCTGCTGCTGTTGCTGTTCCTGCTGCTGCTGCTGCTGTTGCTGTTCCTGTTGTTGCTGCTGCTGTTGCTGCTGCTGGGGTGGCTCTAACTTTTCACGTTGATGGGGCAAATCACCAGCGCGTGCTTCGTCAACATCCATTGCTTTTGCTGTTTCTGCTGCTGCCAATGCACCCTCAGCTGCAGCAGCCTGTTTCTCGTTGGCTGCAACAGCAGCAGCCTCCAGCTGTATCGCTGCCTGCGCCCTCTGGTCCCGGGTCCTCGACCGCGGAGGCTTGCTGACGGCAGCAGCCTCGCGAGCCATCAGAACCGAGACAGGTGTACTCGTGTCTATCCATTCAGAGACTGCAACACAGCAGAAGCAACAGCAGCAAAGGATAATAATACCCATATGCAGCTGCAGCAGCGAGCGACGCACTCCGCCCCCTGCCTTGGCTCTGCCTAACCAGAAGAAACACCTCCCACTGCTGCAGCCTCTCCTGCTGCAGCTGCTGCAGCAACGCAGCAGCAGCAGGGGCACCAGTAGCAGCTGAAGCAACATCAGCAGCAACAGCAACAGGAGCAAAGGCAGCAGCTCCCAAGACTTACAGTGCTGCAGAACAGGGGCAGCAAGCAGCTCCTCCACGACGGTGTCCTGGGCGGGGGGCCGCAGCCTGGCGACTCTGCCGCGCCAGAGAGCATACAGCAGCAGCTGCTCTAGCCGCGTCTCGAGCTCGGAGCAGCAGCAGACAGAATCACTCTCCAGCAGCAGCAATGCAGCAAGGCGGACGGTGTTCGCGCTGCAAGGAAGCAAAGATCGCAGTGACTTCTGCAGCGGCTCCACGCTCCCTGCTGCTGCTGCTGCTGCTGCTGCTGCTGCGGTGCTTTCTGCTGTCTCGGTTGAATCGCCACTCAAGCCCTCCTTATCACCGACTTGCTGCTGCTGCTGCTGCTGCTGCTGTTGCTGTGGTTGTTGCTGCTGCGGTTGCTGCTGCTGCGACGGCGTTGGCTGCTGCGGAATGGCCAGAAGGTCCTGGGCCCTCTTCAGCCACCGCTGCGCCTTGTCCCTCAGGTCTACGAGGTCGCCGTGAAGGCCCCAGTTCTTTATCACCAGTCCCTCTGCAACAAAAGTAGCAGCACGAAACACCCCGCCTCCACAACAAAGACTCGACAGCAGCAGCAAACTCTACGGCCACACGCCACGCCAGCAGCAGTTGTAGCAGCAAGAGCGAAGAAAGGGCAAGGGCAAGAGCAGCAGCAACAACAACAGGACCCCGCAACCCTACACCAAAAACCCTAACCCTCGCAGCAACTGACCGTGGATGGCGATGAGCTCCACAAGCTGCTCGTATGGCGCCCTGCATCGTTCTGGCGCTGCATCCCCAGTGGCTGCTGCACCAGCAGCAGCAGCGGCCGGCTCCGCTTGTTTGCGGTGTGTCTGCAGCTCGAGGACGTGCGTGATGTCCTCAGGCAGCAGGGTACCCTTGCGGCGAAAGCCATCTAGGGACCCCACGGCCCAGCCAACCCGTACAGCTGCAGCAGCAACAGCAGCAGCTGCTGCTCTGTCCAGCAGAGAACGAGCTCTCTCCGTGAAGGCAGCACACTGCTCCACATACACCGAGAGGGGACGCAGCCACGCTCCTATCTCCAGCTGCTGCTGCAACGCCTGGCCGTCCTGCAGCACCTGCCGAGCCTCAGCCAAAGACAAGCTGCCCCCCTCTGTCTTCACAAAACGCTTCTCCCACTTGCGCCACCGACCGTACACAGCCTGCAGCAGTGCAGCAGCAGAAACAACAACAGCAGCAGCAGCAGCAATAGCAGCAGCAGCAACAGCAGCAGCAGCAGTCATTCAACCCCCCGCAGCCTGGCAGCTATGGCCCTCGCCAATTGCAGCCATTCAGCTCAGTCAGCTCAGACCCTCCAGTACAAAAACAACAGCAACAATTCTTAACTATGATGATAAAAATAATAAATAATAATAAATAATAAATAATAATAAACAACATAAAAATATATTTCTATTATACAGGAGACGATAGTTCTTCACCGCTTGCTAGCTCTTAGTCTCTCGTGTACAGTGGGTGGCTGCTGGGCCCGCGTTTGTTTGGGGGTTGTCTGGGTGGGGCCTGACCTCGAGGTACTTGACGGCTGGCACGATGAGCTTGAGGGCCGTATGCTTGGCTATGAGGGCCTCGAGGTCCCCAGGAGTAGGAAAGAGAGAGAGCTGCTGCTGTTTCCCTTCTGTGCTTTCTGGCGTCTCCTCTTGCCCCGGTGACCCCTCAGCCAAAGACTGCAGCTCCTTTATTGCTGCAGCATCTGCTCCTGCTGCTGCCAGCAACTGCAAATATCGAGGCTGCAGGCAGTGACGAGCCCAGTCTCGTGCTGCAGCAACACGACGCTGCAGCTCCCGTGCTGACGGCCCCGCTGTCTCTGCTGACGGCTCCTGCAGCAGAGCCACAGCCAACCCCAGCCGGATCGGCCGCTGCAGCAAACGATCCACCCGCTCAGCCCAAGCAGCAGCAGCAACGTGACCTTTCCAGTCATTCCAGCCTGCAACAAAAACAGCAGCAGCAGCAGCAGCGGGCATGAGACATGCAGCCCCACACTGCGACGCAAAAGGTCAACACACCCTCTACGCAGATATTCGAAGCTCTGTAGCTGCAGCANAGCTGCAGCAACTGCAGCAGCACCGTTGCAGCTGTGTACGCAGTGCGACAGCAGGCGCCGTACTGCACCCCCGCGTACACATGCAGCAGCTCTTAAACCTTAAACCATGCAGCCCCCATCTTACCTGGTATGTAGACGCATACGTCCTGGGCCTGGGCGAGGATCTGTTCACACTGCTGCAGGTCCCCTGCTGCTGCTGCTGCTCGCAGCAGCTCCCGCCAAGTGACAACCTGCTGCAGCTGCTGCAGCAGGAAAATAAACTCAGGAACGATGAAGGGTATCTCGTGGAAGCCCTCTACTAGCAGCCCGCGTAGCAGCTGTATAGGGATTCGCCCCTTGCTGCTGCCGTTGCTGTTGCTTGCTGCTGAAGCCTCTCCTTTCTCCCGGCGGCTGCTGCTGCTGCTGGCGCTGCTGCCATTCAATGCAGCACAAATACGCTGGGCGAAATGTTTACTCTGCCGGACGCGCTGCTGCAGCTGCTGCAGCTCATGCGATATCCCCACAATCTGCTGCAGCACGAGTCCCTCTTGCAGCAGCTCTTCAGCCTCTGCTAGGTGCAGCCTATTGCCCATGGAGACAGGCAAAATGGTCCCCTTTGCTGCTGCTACTGGGTCGGGGGGCAGCGGCAGCTCCACTGTCTGCTGCAGCAGCAGAGCCACAGACTCTGTACGCTGCGCGCCCGGTAACTCTACAGCAGGACTAACAGCAGCCCTGCTGCAGCCGTCTGTCAGAGCCACTGACACACGCAGCAGCCACGACTCCACGCGCTCGAGCTGCACAGAGACGTTCTGCTGCAGCGACCGCAGTGTATCGACGTCACGCAGCGGGGGCGGGAATGAACACATGCTGCTGCTGCTGCTGCTGCTGCTGCTGCTGCTGCTGTCGCCTTCTGCAGAAGTGGCTGTACTGTCCGCCCCTCCTGCTGCAGCTTGCTGCTGCTCCTGCTGCTGCAGCCCTGTCTTCGTACACAGCTGAGGCAGCAACAACATATTCCCCCCAGCAGCAGATATAGCATTGCCTGCGGAAGCAGCTGCTGCTGTAACAACTGCTGCGCTGCTGCTGCCGACAGCAGCAGCAGGGACCTGGGCGAAAAATACTGCAGCCTGACGCTGTACCTGCAGCAGCAGCAAAGTGCAGCACACAACAGCAGCGGATCCTCAA